CAAGGGGTTATGTTTATTTTGCAAGTAAATATTAGCGAACAGCTGTTTAGACTATCACGTCTTATTCTTCCCGTTTTATATTCGTTTGGCACATCTGTGACCTAGTCGTAAGAAGCGTAAAACCTAATAATATATATTGCCAGTAAGGGACTTAGCAAGAAAGGTCTTCAAGGCAAAGCACTACTCACACCACACTCGGCACCTGTCACGGTTTCCGAAGTGTCCTGTGAGCGAGCAGCCTGATGTAAATAGGGTTTTTGGAAACGTCAGAGTACCTCCGGGAAGAACGACGATTCTCTCGCTCTCTCTAGGGGCCATTTTTCTGAAATGCCACGAAAATTTCGTGCTGTTGAACTTAAACAGAAAATTATGAGAATTTTGGTGATGAAGGCCGATTAACACCTTTAGGCAAGTATAATAACACTTCTGCAATAAAGTACACTGAAAATTATATATTGAACAATAACAAAATACATCGAAAAACACATGCATCATGATGACTTCTTTTCAGGCCTTCATGGTATGGGTATACCGCCATTTTGGTATAATAATTAATAGTCGTGTCGTTGTAATACACGACGCCATAATGATGGCGAACAAGGTTTAAAACCTTGTGATTTCAACCATAATTGCTACTGGTGCAATATTATGTTTATCCGTTGTTCCTGTTTCTAAAAGTTATTTTTCTGGACCCATGCTGATATGCCACTGAGAACAGTTCCTCCGAATTTGGTATATTCGTGATGGATGATGAGATTCGTTTGGTAAAAGCTACGTTACACTTATAGGGATGACCTACTGTAAGTAGATTTTTCACTTAATTTTGCCAACCTGATGAGAAGATGGACTGCACCATTTGATTTGGATTTAATACTATTACTTATTATTGTCTGCCTTTATATACCCTCTCCTTTGTGAGAAAGGGAGTATCAGCGCTGATAGTCCGTTTCATAGGACTTGGTTATATTTCCAGAATTTATATCACACCTGTGGACCATTTATACAGTTCTTAATGTTTCCTTTTGAAGCCACAGTGAGGCTAAGTTTAAGATTTAAGTACTGCTTATCTTAGTATATATTTGTACTAACGAATTCTGACTAATACAGTTTTGTATACTATTGGATCATAAAAGATAACAAAACTGTTGCAACTATTCATAAGATTAAATACTAACAGATTATTTCAGTAATTCTTAAGCTAAAGTTAATTCTTAAATACTCCAGGTGTTGGGTGTTGGGTCCAATTTAAATTTGAATATTACCTATGATATATTATTGTAACTTTGAGGTAATTCGGTCATTATAGCATGGATTTAGAAAAACTCCAGTACTGTTGATATTTTTGTTTTGTCTCACCCTATTCCTTCCCAGATAATACTGGGTGGCGCCCACATTTACCTATTTTTATGAAATTAAATCCACGACCATCTCTACCACTGAAGAGCAACCGTGTAGTGAGGCCATAATTTCATCTCTTATTGAAATTACGTCACAGTGCAACAATAAAGAAATGAAAAAACCGAATGAAGAATAGGTAGGCTCATTTCATAGAAGTGTCTGGAACCTAGAGACCAAACTCCTAATGGGCCTGCTGGCTTCCGCAATGAACCAACATAATGCGTCAAACTGTAAGTTCACAATAGCTATTACTAATAATTAATATATAGAGAATATATATCTCTTGTAAGTTGTTCTTATATTTGCTTGAATAATTAATTGAACGATTCAATCAATTTCCTACGCTTGTAGAAAAAATATTGTTCCTAACTCATGCGGAAAGTTTCTTTCCCGCACTCGACTGCTTGCCCGAACTCCGCTTCGCGTCGTTCGTGTCAACGGCAGTCACGTGCGGGAAAGAATCACTTTCCGCACTTGTTAGGAAAATTACTATTTTCTACAAGCGTAGGAAATTGATTGAATCGTTCAATTAATTATTCAAGCAAATATAAGAACAACTAACAAGAGATATATTATATTCTCTATCTATTAATTATTAGTAATAGCTATTGTGAACTTACAGTTTGACGCATTATGTTGGTTCATTGCGGAAGCCAGCAGGCCCATTAGGAGTTTGGTCTCTAGGTTCCAGACACTTCTATGAAATGAGCCAAAAATACCTATTCTTCATTCGGTTTTTTCATTTCTTTATTGTTGCACCATTCAATAAAACGCGTGTATAGCTTCTCATACTTCGTTGGTGATAACGCATCTGTATCAAATCCCTATAGCTAGAAGTTTTTGATCACATATTGTGGCATTTCCACTGAATCGAAAATAACAGTAACGCTGTGTCTGTCACTTCGACAATTTCGAACTTATTTGAGGTTTGATTGGCATGACAAATTGACGTTTCCCGTCAGATCAATCCAAATCTATAGGGGGATTTTTATAATAATCAATTTTTATTTCTCAATATTTCTTAATTTTTACAATAAATAGTGCGATTTGATGGATGATTCTGAACATACATACTTAATACTGCAACAAACAAACTTAAACTTTTATATTCCATCACCAACCACTTATATTACTAGCGATTTTATCATATCTTTGTTTTCCCGCACTAGTGCGGGAAAAAATTTCCCGCACTAGTGTGGGAAAATTTTCCCGCACTGTTGCGGGAAAATGACACTTCCCAAACTAAATTGCGTGCGGGTATAGGGTGAATCACGCACGCTTGTAGAAAAAGTATTTTTCTGTAGTTCACATATGTTAAAAGTTACAGCTCCGTGAAGTTGCATTATTTGAAAAAAAAGTATCGAATTTTGTTATTTGGCTAATTATAACTGGAATAAATAATTTTTCCTACGACCACCTATGAAAACAGCACAAAACACATTGATTTGTTATTGAGAAAGTGACTCGTTTCACTATGACAACATATAAAAGTTAGAAAGTTAATCGCACAGTAACAGGGTCTATAGATCATGATGTACCAATGAATGATTATTATGCTGAGTTATGGTAAGTTAAGTTACGGTCAAGTTAATGGAAACTTAGTGTTGATTCAACATGAGTTATTGTCGTTAATGTTGACGTAATGTTGGGTTGATGAAAAGTTGAAATCAAGTTAATTTCAATTGAAAGTTGAATTAATGTCAATGTATTGGCAATTTAGTGATTAATGTGAAGTTAATGTCAATTTGATATTGACTTGATGTTAATTTGATTTTAAGGTAATGTCAACTCAATTTTGAGTTAATGTTGATTTAATGTTGAGTTAATGATGAATAATTATTGAGTTAATGTGAAGTTGATGTTAAGTCAATGTTAGGTTAATTTTAAGTTGATGTTGAGTTGATGTTGAGTTAATGCTAAGTTAATTTCGAGTTAATGTTAAGAAACTGTTAAATTTATGTTAAGTTGATGTTAAGTTAATGTTGAGTTAATGTTAAGTTCATATTAAGTTAATGTTAATAGTTAACGTTAAACTAATGATGTCATTCAAATATTGAGGTGAAATTAAATAATAATGATAATGATATCACCTTCATGTGATCGAATATGATTAGAAGCATGATACCTACACTCTGGTCTCATAAACACTCATGACATATAATATAAATATTTGTGGTCGTAGGAAAAATAGTGTACAAAACTCGTTGGAAAGTGCATTTCCTGCGCTCGTTTCGTTTCCGCGCGAAATATGTCACTTTCCAAACTAGTTATGTGATATACTATAAACAAATGCAGATCATATTGAGATGATTTTCGTCGATATTATATTGATAGGTTGCCCTATACCTTAAGATAGACAGTAAGCGAGAGCACAGCTGCTGTATAGTAGGTATTGCTAGGTCATAAATGAATCACTTAGAAGAAGGGAATAATTACCATTTTGAGGCAAACTAAACTAGCATAGCCACTTTGATCTTTGCAAATGTCCACATGAATCTAGCCACAAACAAAGTATAGTGGAAGAAGGGAATTATATTATATGGAATCTATGGCTGAAATAATTCCGCAATGCTCCTTCCATTCAGAACACAGAAAATTACGACCAGGACAACGACAATAATAACCAACCCGGACCATCAGAACGTACTAAAATGTAGTAGAAATTTATTGTTGTGACGCTCTAAAATCATAATTCAACTATATACACTGTAGAAAATTCCTCTGAGTGAATGCATATGTGGTTGTGAGTGAATTTACTGAGTGGAATTTTTGAGTGAATTCTCAAGTCAAACTAGACATTTCACCAAGTTCTCATATCAATGAGAATGTTTATAACAAATTTTATTGAATCGGTTCAATAATTACCGTTTAACACAGTCAAGTAGGATGAAATTTAAACTCAATCGGGCGTGGATCTTGAGTGAATTTTCACTCAATTTTTTTCAGTGTACCTGCATTTTAAAAAATGCGATATACTGACTTGTCGCCTTTAACTTTGTTCAAAAAAACTACATAATTAATTGATAATATTGAGGTGCCTTTTAGTATTTTTCTCATGATTTCGTGGAAATATAATAATCTATTATAGGTATAATAAACTAAAATTCAACCAAAATGAAGTTTCCGCATTTTCATTCAAATAGTGGGATTTCATGGAGCTGCAACTCCTAACATAATATGTGTCCTACAAAAAATTTTCAACCGAAAAAAAATGTAGGAAATTTTGTCTTCTTCAACTTTGTATAACATGTTTGGTCGTGAAAGTCACCATTTTTGAGTTATTATCAAAGAAGCAAATTTTTGTGCCTTGAATCCAAGATGGCGGTTCGAGCGCATGCGCTTCGAAGTCGAAAACTTTTTCATAAGGACCCCAAACCTAACAACATACTGAAAAAGCGCTACTACCCCACCTTTTGCATTCAAAAAATCCCCACGAACTAGACTAAACAATGAAAGTCAGAAATTGATTGATGAGTCATTCATGAATCGAAACAACTCCAGTTACACTGATGACGTTGAACCATTGACTTATCAAAGAGAAGCGCTCGCATAATCTTGCTTGCTGGCACTCCGAACATCTCTAATGAAAATTTTAATTGTTTCAGCTTATTCTCAGACCTGCGAAACTTGTCTGGGACCACCCTAATGAATCTCCTGGCGGCCCTCTTTATGTCTCAATTGCTCTACGTCGTAGGGGTAGGAGGAGTGCCTGTGAGTATTACGAACATTAAGTATCTACCGGGGTGTAACAGGATCATGAAACACTCCCTTTTATCCCTCTTGACATAAATAGATTTTTTCTGCAACCGACACAAAAGTCGCCCATTTTGATACCAAAATTAGCTCTTAAATTGACGTTTCTATTACTGACACAAAAATAGGCAACACATTTAGTTCCTAGGAGCTAAAGTTGAATTTTAGTTCCTAGGAGCTAAACTTGAACTTTAGTTCCTAGGAACTAAAAAGGATGTACTGGGCGTCATCGAGAATGAACAACATTGTGACGGTTGGTTATTTGAATTGAGACGCATACCTGATTTGTTTCCGATTTCTGCAGATTTGGCATTTCATACCCATGCTGGAGATATAAATACACCTTATTATAATAGTTTGGTATTGGAATTATAAACATCTCACTTAAGTATTTTTGTTTTGATCAAGGAAGCCTTCAAGATTCAAATACTTGATTGATCTGTATTTCATTCGTTATTCTCGGGATGGATAACTTGTTTTTGAATAATCACGGCAAGCAACAGTTTTCTGTCTCAAACAACGATGTTGTTTAGCTTCATTTGATTATCAAGTCAAACACAGTGTAGTATGGAGAGGAATAAATAATCACTATTATCATTGTTGATATGTTCACTAACCTAACATTTTCCACGTCTTGATCCTATAGCTGGCACTGGCGCGGTATTTGCCATTAGAGCACCTGGTCCATACACAAATATGTCACTCTGTGTTTGCATTTATATTGAAACTACAATTCCAACATCCTAGAAAACCTAACCTGCTGTTAATGCAGGTAGAATATTCTCACTACTTGGATTATTTGTCAATATTTGTTGCATTGCATACATATGGCACGGCATTGGTGGTTACTTCACATGTTCATTTGAGTTAATTGTTTCGGTTGCAGAAAAAATAACATGTTTCATTCGGATCAAAAGTGACTTTGTTCGACTCGCAAATTTTGCTTTCGCTCGGCTTCGCTAAACGCTCCGCCTCGCAAATGCAAAATTCGCTTGTCAAACAAAGTGTCACTTTTGATCCTAATAAAACAATCTACTATTATTTTTTACTGGAAGTGGTATCAACTATTGATTTTCAGATGGAACACCCTGAATATCATTGCATTTTCGAATTCTGCGTAATCTGAATTCAATGATACCACATATAAATGACATTTCAAACTTCAATATTGAATTTTATTTTATTTCTGATATTCCATCTAACTATTCTCATTTACCTCTATCGACAGGTGTGGTGTTAGAAAAAATTGAATCCTCTCAAAAATGTCAATATAATCAAATTTAGTTCATCAGTTTTTTCTTATGAAACCATATTGGTACCGTGGTATCATTCGTTTGTTTCCGTAATTAGTAGTTTATTCATAAGGGCCATGTTGATTTGCAGTGGCGGCTCCTCAGACGAGGCAACGGAGGCTATGCCTCCTCAAGAATTTCCATACATCGAATAGTTCGATACACTCGCATGAAATATTACACCGAAATAGCTAACTTATGTTCGTTTTATCTGTTTTATTTCCTGATATCAAGTAGAATACAAGAATTCGGCAGCAATGCTTTTAGTTGAAAGTATTCAGATTATCAGATTAGAATACAAATTTGCGACTTGGGGACTTGGCAACTCCAACGGGAAGCAGCATCTAACAGCAATGAAATTCGACAGAACTCTTGATGGAGCACGTGTGACTGAGATGTTTATGAGTATATGGTGTTTGCATTGATGTGCTTTTATTTTGCCCAAACTTGACGACAATATACAGTTGAAAATCGCAATGTTCTTGTTACATCTCATTCTAACAGATGTCGCTGTAGTTGCTGTACGAATTCTCTTGAAAACAGAAATAGAGAATCAATTATCAGAATTTCATTAAACACTATCAACAATGCGACGAAAATGAACCTATAATTACATCATTTCTGTATTTTTCGTCGTAAGTATAAGTGATTGTTGTTATTTGGTCCGATAGCGATTGAAAATATGACGATATCAGTGTCTCTATTCTATGAACAAGAACCTTATATAAATGTCGTCAGTTTATTTGTAGAATTCCACATGCACACTTCCCATTCAGCCGCCCCTGTTGAAACAAGCACGAGTCACCACTGGTGAACTGAGTTTGACAAACATTATTCGTAGTTTGACGGGTGTTGTAATCGTCAATTTGAAAAGTGTTCAGAAGTCTTGTACCAATATGGTTCAATAAAAAAAAATGTGTTTTGTCCTAAAAATTATTTTGATGAATCTCATTTAGTGATATCGACATTTTTGATAGGATTTGTTCTTTTCTAGCATCACACTAACTTGTCGATAGTTGTAAATCAGAATAATCATCAAACACTTGGGTCGAAAATAAGAATTGAAAATGAAATCAATATTGAAGATTGTTCTATCACTCATGTGGCATCATTGGATTCAGAAAATGATGCAGAATCTGAAAATGCAATGATTTACAGGGTGTTCCATCTGGAAATCAATAATTATTACTAGCTACATATATATATCAAAACGTGACGTTCATCAAATTGATGTGTGATTCCAAATTTCAATCATTAATCTCTGGAACTGAGGAAAAATAGGGGGTGTACCATTATCCTGATGTAATATCCGGTATAGCGTCTTAATTTCATGCTTCCATGGTTTTGTTTGGATGACAAACGTTCACTGAATTACTTCTATGAAGGGTACCTGCCTTCCTCGAGATTCTGTGAAGTGTTTACCCAGAATAATGTGACACTTCTGGTACAGGATGATTCTGTTTGTTCGAGATAGAATTTCAATGTCACTGTTGAAAGTTTAGATATTATTTTAGAACACCCTGTACATTCGTGAAATCATCATAATTTTTAATGATACTAGTTTTGCTGAAGGAAGTTCACATCAAATGCAAGGTGATTACGAGGGTGATTTAGTTTGTTTGAGACTGATCCTGACTAATCCTATAGGTTTCCCAGAACATGCATCTATACCGGGTGACCACGAAATCATTGGAAATGGCGTTATTCCGTTGCTTTTCATGTTAGACTCCTGACATTCTGCTAGAAAATGAAGTTACTTGAAACCTGTTTTTCATGAAAACAATTGAATATTGAATATCACCTTTGGTTTTACCGGAAATAGATCTATGTCGAAAATTTTGAAAAGAACCCTGTGGATATTTTCACACCATTTGATAGCGCGAACAATTTATTTTTCAATGACATATCTCTAGTTTACATTTGTTTTAAGATGGCGGCGTAATCCATCGAATTTTCGTCAAGCAACGAATTCGTTCACAAAAAATTACTCAGGGATAATGTATGTCATTTTCTGAAAATATTCTGTTACTTTCAATAATGGCCAAGAATGTGTTTTTTTGATACTAGTGCTAATAAGATTGTCAAGATATAACAAACTACTTCATTCTAGTTCAAATCGAGGAGGATGGTTCGTTATGCAATTTACCAATGAGAACAAATACAAGAATAATTGTGAATTGTACCTTGTCATTGGACATTTTCCAGTCAAATTCATTCAGTAGCCTAAGCAGGGGCAGTAGATTCTGTTCCTGTGCCCATTTAGGGTTGAAGATGATTTTGTTCGCATTTTTGTGAGTTTAATAACATGTCCTTATGAACGCTAGTTCCTGCAGGCATAGTTGAGGATTCCGATCAGATTCTGTAATTGAGTTGTCCTTGCACCAAGGCTGATGCGAGGAGTATAAATACGGAAGACTACTGAGGGATCTCTCTATTCTCTCCTGGTTCTCTTGCCGATCTCTTAGTGCTCTCATATTTCATTCGAAACCACTGTAAAGTATAATTGTCTAGTGATTTTGGGAGGCACATGTAAGTTTTGTAAAATATTTTTAACCATTTATTCACCCCGTTTATAAGTTCCAAGATATTTCCATCTCATTCCTGTTATTCATCGTACCCGAGCCTGACCTGTGTGACGAATCCAGAAAGTTTGTATTTTGGGAATACGAATTGAATCTGTTTCATTCGTTTCATTCTTCAGGTAAACTTAATGAAGTTATTTGAATGAATAAATTTCCCAGGCCTAACCTAAGAATACCGTAGACTGCATTCGACAAAAATTAGTTTTTATTCCTGTGATTTTCCAGAATGAAGATAGCAACCAGTATCCCAGGCTAAACCCAGTGTTTGTAAATAAAGTCTACACTCCCTTGGCACTTTGATTCCAGGTCGAATCAATAACATTGACCCCTGGTTCACAATATTCTGTGTCATCTTCTGGACAGCGCCAAAGTAAAGGTCACTGAATGAAGCCACACCGTTTCAACATCCCTTACAGTATCTTAACACATTATCTGTACTATCCTGAAAGAAATATAGTGTAGCAGAAGAATAAGTATAGTACATTTCTCGTATAGTATAATATTTTTAAAACTTTTACCATCATTGTTTATACATTCATTTTTGTTAGAGTTTAACTTCTGCCTCATGAGAACTATTAATTGTTCAAGTTTCGGTATTTCTTATTTTGTATTAATCTGCGAGACATAACCTCATTGCTGTTAATGCTGTATTCCTGTCATTGCTGTCCACACCGGTGTAGCATGGATTTATACCAGCGAGGCTTGGCACTCTGGTGTTATTTTGGTTGCGTGGTAGCTCTCGAATATCTCGACCAAACTCTGCCCACTAAGTAAGTTCGGAAGCTATGTTGATGCAAGGTTGTAGCAATTACTGGAACGGACGTTCAGCAATATGCAAATGTAAATTTGTAAATGTTACGTTCCAGCAATATCACAGCATCATGTGATATTGCTGCAACGTTACATTTTCAAACTTCACCTTTGCAATATTGCTGAACGTCCGTTTCAGTGACTGCTTCAACATTGCATCAACATAGCTTTCATCTTTGCTTAGTGGGTGGACAACGAGGGAACCATCTAATTCAATATACAATATGATTTTCAAATCGTTTCACTTTCAATTTCTATTCTGTGGAACAAAATA